TTTAGAAATATAAATTACACTAAATCTAAAAACCGATTTATTTTCGATATATCCCCGATTAATCACCGCCGCACCGATTTATCGTGTGGCGGTCTCTAACCGCCTCGGACCCGATAACCGATATTTAGAACCTTGACATAAACAAATAACAAAAACCTAAAAAAAAAAACAATCAACTATTTTTTACAAAATAATAAATATGCAAAAAAAATGTATTGATTTATACCAATTTGACGATGGATTGACAATGGCAGAACACAAACACACCACCGATGTGCGCCACAAGTCCAACTAAACGTGACGAAATACGGTATCAATATCCAAAAAATCCAAAAATGAATTAAAAAACGTAGGAGTTAACCTTAATCGACTATTGTACATAGTCGATTAAGGGTCCAGCTTGCGCAAATTTCTCTATCCGCGCCATTCTCTGTTCAATATACCCAAAAACTCTAGATCTACCCCCATCGTCACCACGCAGTCACCCCACCACACCATCACCATCCCCAACCATTAACTTTGTCTGCATTGCCACACCCCCTCCAACATGGACCACCTCCCCGTTGCCACCACCACCCACAGCCGCCGCCATGCCAAAATTAACCTAACAACATGAATTACTTCTCGAATAATAACGAAATTACAATGGAGCTCACCTCAAAAATCAGTGCATGTGCAGCTCAATTCGACGTAACTTCTTCGTCTGTTTCACCGCGCCAGTAGCCATCACACGCAGCCCACGCTTGACGTCATCTCTACGAAATCAGCAGAGGATTTTCTCCAAAAAAATTGTTGCAGTGGATATTTACAGAGTGGGAATAATAGGGTGAGAGATTTCAGATTTCAGTTACAAGAAATCAGGGATTTCAATGAGCAACTTGAAAAAGGGATTTCATATCATTAAGAGCAGTTTGAATTATTATGAAAATAGCATTTGAGTGGAATATTAGTAAGGAGTTTTCTCTAAATTTTCCTTGACTATATTTACTAAAGGGGGGTCTTGCTAATTTTCCCTATATAAAAACTAATGTGTGAAATAATAAAAATAAGGGTCTATTACAGATAAGTCCATCATGGGCTACTTATTCATTATGTCCACACAAAATACTCTTACAAAAATATTCAGACAATGTCCAAAAGTGTGTGAAAGACTAAAATACATCTCATATTTCAATATGCTCCAATTTCATCATTTAATTCAATTTAACCTCAATTTAAACCCAAATTTCACCAATTATTCAATTTGGACCCCTCACCCAATTTTGACTACAATTTCGGTCGTCGTCGTCGTTGACTTTTTTTTTTCTGTCTAATTTTTCCGCGGTTTCCGGAATTGACTTTTTTTAATTGTTTTTTCCATTTCTTCTTCTTTCAGTCGCCACTGACCGGGCGGTCAACCCCGATCTCCGATGGCATTGAATTTTTTTTTCCTTCAACATTTTTTTGGCCCGTTTAAACAGTAACATTGTTGTCGTAGACAATAATATTAACTATATTACTGTTTAACACAGTAATATTAACTATATTACAATTTAACACAATAATATTGTTATATTACTCTCTAGCACAGTTATTTAACATAACAAAAATCCCTATTATTGTGTAAGATGGTAATATTAATATGTTGGCCGTTCAACAAAGGCAAACATAATAAAAATTCAAAAGAATTAATATTGATGTGGTTGATAGTAATATTTATGTCAACGACAATAATATTACTGTAACGATAGTAATACTACCGTCAACCACGGTAATATTGTTGTGTGTACAGTAATATTGCAATAGTAGACAGTAATATTATTACGTCAATCGGTCGACAAATCAAACAAAATGAAAAATACCAAAAACATAAATAATATTGATGTGGTTGAAAGTATATAATTGTATTTGTAGTAATTGTACCGTCAACAACAATAATATTATTACGTTGACTGGTCAATAAATCAAACAAAATAAAAAAAGCCAAAATAATAACAATATTGATGTGGTTGACATTAATATTATTGTGTTTACAGTAATTGTACTGTCACCGACAGTATAATTGTCAATGACAGTACAATTACGGTCAACGTTCGGCGAATAGATAACAATTTTAGGGAAAAATATAATGAAAAAATCAACGGTGGAGACCGGCGGTGGAAAAAGTAGTCAGAATAGAAAAAGGAAAAAAAAAAAAAAAAAAAAAAAACAAACGTCGGAAATCGGCGGTAAAAAAGAAAAAGTTCAAAATTGAATTATTGTGGTCAAAATTGAGGAAATTGAAGTTAAATTGGGGAATTAGGAATTCAGTTTAAAGGGTTGGAGGTAGGGATGGCAATGGGGCGGGTTTTGCAATCCTCATCCCCGCCCCGCTATGGAAATCCCCATCCGCATCCCGTCAAAATTCTCGAACTTTATAAAAAGAATCCCCATACCCGCCCCATAAAATCCCCACGGGTATTGGGGCGGGTTAAAATCCCCGTCTATTTTTTTTTTAATAAATAAATATGCAATTTACTTATAATTTAAAGACTTATTTCAACAAATAAATCAATATTAAATTACAATACTAATATTTCATTATATAATCGAAACCTAAAAATCCACATTTGTAGCTAATATTTAATATATTACTACTATTTAATTATTTATATTTAATATAATAATTAATAAATATATATTTTATATATAAATAATGCGGGGCGGGTATAGGCAAACCTGTCCCCGTACCCGTACCCGATAAAAAAAATTCAATCCCCATACCCGCCCTATTCTTTTTCGGGGTGGGTAATACCCGAAAATTTCGGGGCGGGGATGCGTCAGAGCGGATCAAATTGCCATCCCTAGTTGGAGGTAATTTTGTCATATACATTAATTTTGCCTTTATTTATAATCTATATATAATATAAAAAGAGGATCTATGCCCTCAATGATTGACATGTGGCAAATGATGATGTCATTTGTCAAAATTGCTTATTGGAGTTCAATTGATTATGTGGATTCTGCAATTGATTATGTGGCATTTTTATTTATGGATGTTTTTAAGTTTTTTCCTATTTTACATTTACACAATCATTTAATAATTACCACATGTATATATATTATTTCCAAAGTTAATATTTTATAAATTCGAAATAAAAAAATCTTATTTATATTTTCAGTATTTCAAAATATATTTATTCAAATAAATTCATGAAACTCAATTGTTTTACGAATATTCAAATAATTTTCATAAAAAAAATATTTTTTTAAATACTAAAATATTAAAATAAAGGAATATGTTGTTGGTTTTTTTTTTTTTTTTTAATTTTCAAGATATTCGAATATCCATTCCATTAAAAATAATAATAATAAAATGTTTTAGTTTTTAATTGAAGTATTTAATAAATATACACTATTTTTTTATATAATTTTTATTATACCATATTTCAAATTAAAAATAATTATATTATTTAATAAATATGCAATGCACGGTGGATTAATTCTAAATGCAATAGTTGGTTGTATATTTGGAAAACACTATTTAATATATAATATGGTCCGAACTATAAAACGGATTATGCATTATATTTATTAATTATTATTTCAAATAAAATATCAAATCACCAATATAAAGGAATCTTTAATATTCCAAGATTCCATCATATCATCTTTGATTGATTTAAATTTATACTTTAATTCAAAATTGAATGGTAAAAAATAAAAATCGTATTCTTCATATTTAATGGTTTTTATATTGC